CTGTACCACTTACTTGTTTTCTGCCCTTGAATGTGAAACTTCTTGCTCATTCTCCACTTATGATATTTAGGGAATAACATTTTTTGATTCACTAACTTGGGGAGAATGAGTTTATCTGACATTCAAAAATATTCAACGGATGGTGAATATTTTATCAAGGTGACAAATAATTAGACTGCAATCTAATTATTTCACTTTGTTAAAATTCAAACAAATCAATGCATTTATTTGCAGAAGAAAACATGATGGAGAATGTTTATTTTTGTAGAGAAGAAAATATCAAGCAGAGGTAATAATAACAGAGAAGGGCTACATCTGGGCTGCAAAAATCTAGATGACCATTAGATGGCAGCAAAAATTCAGAAACAAGCTTTTGCTGCCATCTAATGGCTGCTTGGATTTTCAATGCCCTTATGTGACAGCTCTAATAAAGAGCCAGTAGGATTAAATCCTCTGTAATATAGACTTGAATTTAAAACTCTGGTTTCAAGCAGTGATTTTAAGAATTCTATTGGATGATCTCTTGCTGTCTTTCCAGGTTCTTGGGCTACAGTCCTGCTTTCTCCCCCCTCCCCCATTCCTGATGTTACCGCTTCCTTCTCAGACATGCTGCTAAAAGCCATTCACAGCCTACAGCAAGGGTCCTCAAACTTGGCAAGTGTAAGACTTGTGGACTTCAACTCCCAGAATTCCTGAGCTAACATGACTGGAGGAGGAATTCTGGGAGTTGAAGTCCACAAGTCTTAAACTTGCCAAGTTTGAAGACCCCTGGCCTACAGCTTGCCTTCCCACCATTCTAGTAGTACCGTGCCTAGCTCTTTAAGGAGGCAAGGACAGAATGATGGCAAGGGTGACCAGGGATCAGATCAGAGGAAGTATGCTTAAAATGCCAATAAGTGCCCCTCTGATTCCACCTACCTCTGGCCACCAAATTCCACTGCCACTGTAACTAGTAGCAAAATGCAACAGATTTTACACATGTTGCAGTTATTCTTGGATGCTCTCAGATTAAGTGAAAACTGGTCTTAACATCAGTACAGCTACATATGACTTAAAAAGGGCTGGAGATGAGATGAAGACAATAAGGGAATTTTACAGGAAAAAAAGTTAAGTCGAGGTAATGATTGCACCATAGTTAGTTCCAAATAAGGAAAACCTTAAGAAGAAAACCCAAGTTGATAAAACTATGTATGGAGGGACTTCCGGTTTGAGCTTCTTTGGCAACAGACTGAAGCCTCATCTCTGCGAGGTTTCGATCCGTGCTTGCCGCTGGAGCGCCCTGAGCCGGCTGGTTTCGGGGCTAAGCCACCCGGTACAGGTGGTGAAGGAGGGGTAGAGTGCCTGCAGGGTTGAGGAGAGCCGCATCTCTCCTCCCCAGCTGGCCATTACTCCCTTTCCCGAAGGCGGTTGTAGCGGTGGTCAGAAATGGCCACCACAAAGAAGAACTCGACCGGAAAAGAATGTGCAGGAGGAAGATAAGAAGAGAAAGTTTTGGTTGACTGGGTCAATCAGCAAAAGCAACAAATAAGGTACCCTGGAATTGAAACTATTAAAAAAAAACCAATAACATTGTTCCCTAAGAAGATTTTTAAGCTGCGAAGGAGAGAGAAAAGGGAAAATATTTGGTTTTTTTCCCTCCTTTTCCTATACTGACAGCGAAGAGACTTAAGCAAGAAATTGGAAAAAAATCCACTTTGACATTAATAGGCATTTAATGCTGAAAGTAAAAAGTCAAAGGGATAATAAAGATTTCTGGATAATCAAAAGCTTTTGAAAACAGGAAAGGAGAGAAAAAGAATAAAAGGGCAGGATCTAGAAGGGAGGAGACTGCCTGGAATTAAAAAGAACTTACAGCAAAATCTCAACAAGACTTCCAAACGATACATTTTAACTGAAACATCACAACAAAAACCCCAGGAAAAGAAAGTGGAAAAAGAAATAAGAAGAAACAGCTTGGGACTATTTGGATTACTTGATGATCTCTGGATTTTTGGTTATTGTATTTGAATGACTAAAATCAATCGGGTGGTTGTTTAAAACTATTTAAAATGGCTCCACTTTTAGAAGAATTGAAAATGGAACTTAAAAAGTACAAAGAAGATGCACAAGAAGGGAGAGGTTCTTTTGGCTTCGTATTTCAGTTCTTAGAAATGGAGATTTGGAATTATGAGAAACAACAAGAAATGCCTGAAGAACAAGAAGATTGCGACAAAGAAGAAGCCATCTTTAATGAACAAGTAATCTTAGGTGGGGGAAAAAAGGAAAGGGGGGAAAGAGAATGGAAAGTTTAAGATTGGGAAAAACAACCCCCCCCAAAAAAATAGAGTAAAAAATAAGTATAAAATCAGAAAGCAACAGAAGAGGGAAATGCAGAAGAGAGAATTAGAACTAGAGAGACAAGGGGGTAAAAAGGGGAGGGAGAAGATGAGAGGGAAGAAAGAAAGGAAAAGAAGTTATAAAGGACAGAAACAAAATATAGAGAAACAGAGCCTATTTAGAGATAATGGGTGAAAATTTAATGGAAAAAGGGATTCTGTAAAGGTACATAAGATAGTATTGTTATATTAGAAATAGAAATAATTTTAGAAAATATGCAACAATGTATGATTAAAATGTTTGATAAAATAGCTATTGTAATTCAGTGGAATGCTTGTCAATAAATAAATGTAACAAAATGAATATTTAATGATTTACAAAACATATGTGAAGAGAAATAAGGAAAAATTAATTATGGAGATTATACGTGTCTTTAAGGAAGTATGATATTTAATTGAAAAGAAATGTTAAAGATGTTAAGATTTTAATGATTATTAATGATAGAACTGAATTGGAATGGAATGAGGGTTTATAATTACATATATTTATAATCTTTTTTTTTTTAAAGAATATAGTGTGTATTATAAGAATGTACCAAGCAGAATTCGATTGGAAGTTATGTATTATGTATTATATTGAAGGTCATAAGCTTAAGGTATATATTGAAGTTTAAATAAGAGTTGAATGGATGTAATTAAAAGATATAAAGGTGTCATACTCCAATTAGTAACTACAGGAGAAAATTTGTTTAATGAGAAGATAATATGAAATTGAAACAGAACAGACAAAAGTATAAATATAATGATTCGAATTGAGATGAGATAATCAAAATAAAATTGAGAAAATTAAAAGAGGAGAAAAACTATATAGAAAATGTAGAATAGTATAAGATATGGAATAGAACACAAAAAGGAGCATGAAATTGAGTTTTTGTATAAAGAAGTTCAACCCGGGACCATGCTATTTTCAAAAAAGATGTTTTACTTGTATTTTGTATGTGTGAAAACCCAAATAAAACTTTATTTAAAAAAAATCATGTATGGAAAAGTCTAGGGCAGGGCTGTCAAATTTGTGGCCCGTGGGCCAGATGCATCATGCGCTGGCCATGCCCATGCCCATACCCAGTTTAGTGAAGGGGAAAAAAGCTATGATGATGCCACTGTGATGACACGAGTTTGACACCCCTGGTCTAGAGGGTTTTTTTTTAACAAACCAAATGAGTTGATAAGGGGATAGGACTAATGCTATGCAGATCTGCAGCCTTTCCTGGATCATAATTCCCTGCACTCAGCCCCTAGCCATCTCACAGGTGGACTATTGTTATTTACTCTACATGTGAATGCTCAGAGCAGATTGTGGGCAGGCAGGTTGATAACATATGCTTTGCTGGGAATCTGTTCTTTTCTGTTGAGACTGCTATATGGAACAGGTGCATAGGTCAGTACATCAGTGATGACTGGAGAAGGGAAAAGATTGGGTTGAGGATGTAATAAAGGCAGTGAGATGTGTTGGGCTGGGAGATGCAGAAAGGGAAGGCAGTAATGGGAAATGCACGAGGAATTGCTGAGAGGCAAAGAACATTAATGTTTATTTCACGCACAACGTCACACATTACTGTGTTTCACTTGCCACATAAACCCTTCTGGATTTCGTCCCTCTATGAGGGGGATGGATGATTTCTAAATACATAAAATAAAAATTTGCACCACCTGAAATCCAAAGCAAAGTAGAACATTTCCCTGTATCTACCAAATTGCAGGCAATTCAAGATGTCTGGGCTTAGTTCTTGAATGTAATGATTTATTATAGATTCTAAACAACTATTTTCTCTGATAAAGGAGGATATTTGTAGCTCAGCCCTGAGATCCTTGGTGCTCTCTGAGCTTGGTTGTTTTTTTGCAGGCATTTTATTACCCCAACTAGGTAACATCATAATAGGTGACCAAAGGCCCCTCAACTATTTTCTCTTTTGTGTAGAAACATAGCAACAGCAAATTGCAACAAGACTGAAAATAAAACATGAAGCCAGTTTAGCCTGTTTCTCTGCCTTTAACAGGGGTTTAAGTTGTAAAAAAGGGAGAGCTTCACAGGGTGTGAAACTAAAATGGCAGTTTTTAAATAGCAAACTTACTACCGTATTTGAAATGAAGAAACTACTAGGCTTAATGGGAAAGTGGACAAGTTTTAAAGTTCAAGATTCACTTTTTTTAGTTTTAGGTGGTAATTCTTCTAACCCCAACTCCATTTCAGTGGCTTTAAGTCTCAGTCACTGCTCTGCACTCTTAAGTGTGTATTTGTTTATTCTCACTGCAAAAATGTAAACATGTTTACTTCCAAGTGTGCCCCATTTTTATCTTACACTCCAAGTCTATCCAAGATAGCTAAGTAACAAACTTTCTGGGCTGTCTGTAGTAGTTTCCAATGTATTCTTTCCTTGGAGTAAGCTCCATTCAGCGCAATTGGGTTTATTGCTTACTTTACTGTAAATCCATCTCTGGCCTGGAGACTTTTTTCTCTAATGATTCGCTCAACTCCCTATAAACCACCGGCCCTTCTCGCGCAGTTTTGGAAAGGGTTAAAGGAAAACGCCAGAGCCGAGCCCCTAACCCTCCCACGGCCTCTACGGAGATCGGCAGCGCAGCCTTTGCAGCTGGGCGCGGTTTCTTTCCAGCAGCATCGCACTAAGGGGGTTGGGCATCCGCCGCCTTGTGCTCTTCAAGGCCGCCGCCGCTAGCCCAGCTCCTTCCTCCTCGCCCTGCACGCCGCAAAAGCCCGAAGATGGCGGCTCACCATCTCCTCGCCCGCTTGCACCGCTGCCTCTTGCCCGCCGCTTCCCGATGGGGGTCAGGGCACAGGACGGCGCCGCTGGCTCTCGGGGCGCAAGCGAAGGTAAAGCGGCCACGTCGAAAGGTTTGGGTCCCCCGCGGTGGTGGTGGGGGGAAGCTTACGGGCTTGCAGCGACGTTTTGCTTTTGGCCGAACCTCTGACCCGCTGTTGGTAGATTCGGGCATCCTTCGCCAGGTTCAGGGCAAGTGGGGCCGAGGGCGCGGGCGGAGAAGCGCAGCCATCCATTTGGAGATCCTTTTCTCTAATCGGTCTCTTTAAGAGCGACTTGATCCGCAGCAATTGGCGGGGGGTCAAGTTCAGCTGCGCGCCTGGAAGAACCTGAGCCTGTCCTGGCAGTGTCAAGCCGTTCTCGCAGGCAGAAGGAAGAGCCGGTCAAACCGCTTTGCAATCGCGTCTCGTCCTTCTCGCGTTTCTTTGCGCCCTTCTTGGCTGTGGCGCGGACTCCCCCGACAATTAGTTGGGCCTGTTTCGTTGGCTCCCACCAGGATCGGGTTTAGCCCCAGGGCTCTTTCAGTTCCTCCATGCAAGGAAAATATTTCACCCCAGCCAGGGCAGGAAAGGTGACCTCGATCTGCTGCAGAACGAATGACGTGCCTGCATCCTTACTTCTGCCGGCTGGTTGGAGAGGTCAGCGCATTACAAGGCGACGCGTCCTTGGACGTGGTTGCAGAAAAAGGGGACTGTGCGCCGACCTGACCTTGAGGAAGAGAAAAGGAGCTTCTCAGCTCTGCTTCTGCAGCTGGATGCTTCATTTACTTAAAACGGAGGAAGGGAGATCCTATGGGGGCTTCGATTGAGAGGCGGCTTTAAGGGATCATTTTGAAGTCATAGATCCTGTGGCTTCTTACACCTCGATTCTGCGCATGGGTTACTCGGAAATAAAGCTTGCTTCTTTTAAAAAGCCGTTCCCACTTTGAGGCCTTTTCTGTCTGGAAAATGAACGTTTTTTAAAAAAACACCTGCATCTCTCCTCACAGGAATATTTGTTGGATCAGTTTTTATTAAAACTGTGTTTTGTGACAGCTTGCTCGGGCTTTGGCAATGTTTTCCAAACATGACAACTTTTAAGAGGGGGGGGATTTCAAGTCCCAGAATGCTGTCTGGGGAATTCTGGTAATTGAAATCCTCATCTTAATTGTGCCAGGTTTGTAAAACACTGCGTTGCCATATCTGAGCTGCAACAATCTAGGTGATCACAACATAAAACTAAATTGTTGCAGGACAGTGAATCCCATCAATGAAGTTAGCCTCTAAATCAGTGTGTTAAGAATTGCAGCTACTACTGATTCCTGGCACCTACTGATCTGAAAAGGGCTATTAATAAATGTTCCAGTTCAGGTGGAGATTCCAGAAATATAGGTGGTCCTTGACTTATGACCAGATGCTTAGCAACCATTCAAAGTTACAACATACACCCTACCCCACCCCCCAAAATACTTATGATCCAATTTTGAAGTTCTGATCCTCTCCCTGCAGTCACATGACTACATTTTGGGCACTTGGCAACTGGCCCACATTTATGGCTATTTGCAGTACTCCCTTGGTCAGGTGGCCATAATTTACAATGTTTTTGCCAGAAACAGGAAGTAACTGATCACCACAAAAGTTATAAAATGCCTCCAGTGATATAATCTGTTTTATTACCATCATGACTTTTGATTGTAATTGTCAGGCTCAATGATAGTTGTAAGTCAGGAGTGTCAAACTCTCAGCCCACAGGCCAGATGTGTCACATGCTGGCCCTGCTCCTGCCAGTTTTAGCTAAAGGGAAAGAAGTTCCGTCACATTGCTGTGATGACGTGAGTTTGACACCCCTGTTATAAGTTGAGGACTATCTGTAATTATCTTAGTTGGTTGGGATAATGTAGTTTACAGCAGAGTTCCCTGATGGTGAAGATAAAAATGATGAAAGCATACAACTATTAAAAAAAACTGGAAAGAGTCAAGAGTTGGAGCTACTGTTAGTCATCTGTCTGTCCAAGATAGGGTTGGAAATATTTCTTCCACAATCTTAATGATTTCCTGTTTCAGATTTAAATAATTAAAAGCCTAGATATCTGTCTTAAGCATGCTGTTTTCCAAATTTATTGGGACCATAATTCTCCTGGACCATCCTAACAGGGATTTCTCAGAACTTATTCCTTACATCTTGAAGGCCATTTGTAAAGTAAAGCTTTTTTCAGGAAGTGACTGTCTTCTCAATATTTGAGGAGAAGCACAGGATAACAGTATTCTATAATTGGGTTTTGTATTGTCAGGTTTATATCCCTGCCTTTCATCCAGAAACATAAGGTGGCATATATAGTAGTGTGTGCATTTTTCCTACAGCAACAAGCAGTTGGGAATTTGGGGCTGAGAGCCCCAAGATTCAATGGGATTTATTTCCTTCTCACAACCTTAATAAGAAAGTCACAAAAGTTATATCAGATTATTTGTTTTGCTATCTCCTAGAACAGGGATGTCCAACCTTGGGCAACTTTAAGACTTGTGGATTTCAACTCCCAGAATTCCCCAGCTAGCCATGAATTCTGGGATTTGAAGCCCACAAATTTAAAGTTGCCAAGATTGGACACACTGTCCTAGAATGATGGTTCTCAACCTGTGATCCATTTTGGACACATTCTGTAAGTGAGGCTATTTGAGGTACCCTGGTTGAAAAATTGTTGTCCCTTGATGTATTGTTTTGCCCAGTTAAAGGTTAGGGGAACAAGAGTTCTATGGAGAGATAATGTAGTGGTGGGTTAATCATAAAAGGCTCTTTGAGTTAGCTGGCACCATCTGATTAGTTGAAAACTGCTCTTGTCAGTAAAAGGTGATGAATTGGTTTCTCGGCTATTTTGTTACGCCCATATTAGTGAAACATAGCATGTGCCATGTGATTTTCCATGCCAGGGAGAACAAACTGTGAACTGCTTCTTTTGGTTTCAAAAGCTTTGTTGTCTGTGTCATGGTGCCAGGCATACCTTATTAAGTACTTTATTTTTTTATTTATAGACTTTATATGGCTGCCTCCTTTACACATGATAATCCTATGTAACTCACAACAGGCGAAACTGAGTGACTGACATGCCTTGTTTACATACGTAAATGAGATTAAAAACTATAGAATCTAAAATACCAATTACAATGTACAATGCCAGCGATAATAAATACACCGCATTCATTCATGAAAATTCACATTTTTCATGCCTCCTTTTAGTGACAATTATGTTGGTATTGCCAGCATATTGGAGGTTGTCAATATAATTCTTTCTGATTGCAAAATAGTAATAGTTTGATAGGAAGATTCATTTCTTCAGTGCCTAATTTTGACAACTTGTGCCCTCAGTTTATAATTTCTGGACAGAATGATTGTGAGAATACTGTATGATTGTAAAACAGGCCATACAGTTTAATCCTAATTTGGAATTAAAATTCATTTATTTTGCTTGGAATTATTTTTTGCTGCTTGGTACTTAATGTTATTGGGAGAAACTGATTCTCAATCAGGACCTGTTGAACTGGAGCATTAGATTAAATTAGTTGTTTCGGTTTGTCAGTTGCAAGCATTGTAAATAGATTCACCCTTGCTCTTGTTATGTCTAGGAATTACTTAAGATAATAACCACTGTTTATATATGAAGTTGTGTTTTATTAAGAATAGGGGCATGCATATATAAAAATGTTGCAGTTATGTTTTTGAGCTTGTAAGAAAACCCTCCTTTTGGACCTTTTGTTTGGTTGTATTATCATTTGTAATACTTCTATTTTTCTAGCCTTTTTTCTGGATAATTAAAACATAGTTGTGCAGTAATCCCAAAGTTGTTACTACTTGTCTTAAATATTCAAGTCATTTTAACAGCTAGCCATTATACACTATATTTTTGTATGTCTTTTTCATATTCTGATAAAGCATTTCAGCAGATTTTTGTGTGCAGGACAACAGCATTTCAAGCAATTCCTAAGAAATATCAATATATTTTTAGTTAACTTTTCTTTTTTTTTGGGGGGGGGGGGGTACTTTTTTTGCTGTTGTTTAGTGCTAAATCATATGCTGTCCAAGAAAGATGAGAAGACAGCTCCAAATATATAACACCATTAAGGAACAGGTATAATAAGGATGGGCAATGAGGAGGAAGTATTAGTAATCTTAGCAGGGATGATGAAAGCTGTTGGAAGGACACTAGATAGGGTAAAAGTACTAGAAGCAATTCTATATTAAACTACAGCTCCTTATTGCAACCTTCTCCAAGGGAGAACCCCTCTAGGAATGTGACTGTTGTGCTTCTAATGTGATGATTCTGTTTCCATGTGAAAGTCAGTTCAAGCAGGTTCACAATGGTTTTATACAGAACTAATGTACAGCCAAGCTCTTAATATCCTTATAACAGACAGCTCCATGTCTGCTACTTTTGCCCTAGAGACTAAGCCTCTCCTTCTATAACTGTTTTGCAAATTTGGCAAGTTTAAGATGGATTGACCTCAATTCCCATGGTGGCTGGGGAACTCTTGAGAGTGGAAGTCCACCCATCTTAAAGTTGCCAAGTTTGAAAAACACTGTTCTTTCTAGACTCTGGCTGGCTCAGGAATTCTGAGAGTTGAAGTCTACAGATCTTAAAGGGGCCGTTCCCCACCCCTTCTCTAGAGCCTTCCAGATGCATCTTACAGAATTCTTGGCTCTCCTAGGATCCCAACATAGGGAGGGTTCTAGATTGCAGAAAGCTTCCCTCAAGAATTTGCCAAGAGTAGCATGTAGTGCTCATGTCTGAGTGTGGAGTTTTTTTCTACTGGGTTCTATAGGTTATTTGATTGAGTAGATTTACGTCCCTCCTTTTATTTGGGAACTCTGAGTGGTCTATATAGCACTTCCCTCTTGCTTTTCCTCACAAGAAGGAAAATATCAGTTGGATTGAAAGAGAGTAACTGGTCCAGAGTCACCCGGAACACTAAAATGTGGGTTTTCCTGCTCCTAGTCCAACACACGGGATCTCAGCTGTTGTTATAAGGAATTGGGTCTTTTCCTCAGCAATGTACAATGTCTGGATCATTTTTTTCTCAATATATATGTTTCGGGTCTTTTATCAGAGGATGGCTAAGAATTTTCCTTTTCTGCCCAGCAACGTTATAAAAAATAAATATGCACCACCAGAAAAAATGAATGAAGCTTTATGCATAGATATGTGTACATGAATTTACATGTATAGATATGATGTTATGTGTAATGAAAACAGTGATGGGATTCATTTTTTTTTTACTACTGGTTCTGTGGCCATGGCTTGGTGGGCGTGGCAGGGGAAGGATGCTGTAAAATCTCCAGTCAGAGGTGGTATTTGCCGGTTCTCCAAACTACTCAAAATTTCAGCTACGGGTTCTCCAGAACTGGTCAGAACCTGCTGAATACCACTTCTGCATGCAAAGTCCTGATTCATATGATGTCCTAAGTCATAAATCATGGTTTACAAATCACTAGGACTGTACATGCTAAGTGAGAATTAAAGAAACCAATTCCAATGTAATGCAATGTGAGAACCTTACTTGCTTGTCTTGTCAAATGTTCAGATACTTGTTGCTGATCAGCAACTTCTCATGTTTCAGTTAAATTGGATGGGAGACCTTCTATCTGACTGAGCTTAGTAAAATAGGATAGATGGCAATTCAACTTTCAGCGTTTGACACTTGCTTTCTGATAATCTGATTTCATATATTTGGTATGATTTTTTTTAATACACATACAATTGATACTTACATACAGTATAACAGTATAATGTGACTATTTCTCTCTCTCTCTCTCTCTCCCTCCCTCCCCCCCCCCCCCCCTCTCTCTCTCTCTCTCTCACACACACACACACACACACACACACACACGTGTTATATTGTTGGGGTGTTTTGTTACTCAGGAACACCTGCTATTGTAGCTCATCAAAAGAAAACACATAAGATGTATAGAAACTGAAATTTTGTCTCTAACTGAGATCCCTTTAAACTCTTTCACATATATCCTGATGAAATATGATCTCCTATAGGTTTTGTGTTTGCATAAGAAATGTAAGGGCTCTTTGTCCCATATGATAGTTACGTTCTTTAGGATCCCTTAATACAACTTTGCAAAAACATAGTTAAAGGCGTGAATATGATGCTGAACTTATACTTCAGAAATACGGAATTTACTTTTTCTGAAGACTTGGACTTTACTGAGTCTAAATGAAAACCATTCTTTCCTAGCAAAAGGACAACTACCACTAAATATTAAAGACTGAATTCAAGAGATGTGTGCTTTGTAAATTTGTGAGATTCTTTTATAAGATAAACATGCAAAGGAGGCACAATAAGTTTCTATATGATTGATATTCAACGAGCGAAGACAGAAGTATTTGGAATTTTTTGTGAAGTTTTATTTTATTTTCCATATATATATAGTTTTAATTTTTTTGGTGTTAAATTCATTAGTACAATAACAAGAATATTGCATTCTATTTTTTTTTGGTATGTGTGTGTATATAGTTTTATTGTGATGTAAAGCTCTATTATGCATTTTGTGGATACTTTGCAATTCTAGATCAGTGTAAATTGCTTTATGTATATCTGTATGTATTATATAGAATACACAGTCAATAAATCTGTTATTTGGATTAACTGTATAATGTTGGATCCATGACATTCTCATCTCTCCTCCTCCTTTCCCCCTCTTCACTTTTAGACTTGCGGCTGCTATTTTTCAACCAGTTCCTGTCACAATACCCAATTTTATACTGATCCGGTAGAAGCAGTAAAAGACATACCAAGTGGGTCCACTCTCCTTGTTGGTGGTAAGTAGTGAAATTCCACTATTTTTCCCATATAAACTACAGGTAGTTCCCACTGATCTTTTAGTGACTGTTCACAGTTACAGTGGTGCTCAAAAAAGAAATTTACAATTTATTGATCACCTTTGCAGTGTCCCTCAGTCACATGATTTCCATTACAGTCAATATATGGTGTTCTATGCCTCAGCTGTGGCTTTTCTTTTTTCCTTTCTTTTCTTTGCAAATCTGAGAGATTGGAGAGAAAGATTTCAAGAGAGTAAGCTGTTCACTTGAAAGCAATGCAATCATGCTGGGAAGCGTGGATATGCTATGCAAACAGCTTATAGTATTTTCTTGAAATCACTTCACCAATCTTTTGGCTCTGCCATGGATAGAAAAAAAAAAAAGCAAACAATTTTTTGGGGCAATTTCTTCTTTGCCAGATCCCTTCCCCCTCCTTTGCCAGAGTGGAGAGATTGGAGAGGAAGTGATTTCAAGAGAGTAGGCTGTGTAGCTTACCTATATGAGTATATATTTGTGTTTATAGTTTATGATTGTAAGCTGCCCAGAATTACCCTGTGGTAAGATGGGCAGACAATAAAATTTATAAAAAAATAAAAAAATAATGAATAAATGTGATCACTTTGCTTCCAATTTGTAGAAGAGCAAAATAACCTTGCTATGTACAGATCTCTTTGTTTCTAATCTTTTTGCTCTGCAAGTGGGGAGTAAAAAGAAGCAAGCAATTTCTGCAAACAGTCTCTCCTTTGCCTGATCCTTGCCCCACACCTCCCCGGATAGAGTATGGTTGCAGAGGAAGAACAAGATATTTCAAGAGAGTAAGCTGTTTATGTAGCACGCCTGTGGCTCCCAGCTCTGAGCTATGGTGCAATCTCATTGCTTTCAATGGGTACAAGATAGTAAGCAGGCACTTGAGCATTTGAAAGGGCAGGGAAGTGGTTAGGTGAATAGAATCTGAAGGTGTGAAAGTCAGTACAATCATGTCATTTCCTACTTAATGACTGCCTCACTTACTGATGGATTTGCCAGACCAGTTAGGATTGTTAAGCAAGGACTAACCTATATGTATTTAAATCTATAATTGTCAATGTTTCATGCATGCCTCTATAAGAGATACATGTAGATTATGTACACCTGAGTTGTATGCATGGATATATGGGGAGAGTTTATAGTATTTTGGCTGGTTAAAAAATTATTTTAATGATTTATGACATTAAAATATTGATTGAAATTAAATTGTGATTTATGTTTTGTCCTAACTCTAACTTTATCCTGATCCTACTTATTATTGGGCAGTGACTTCTGGTATCACATTCAAAGGTTACATATGATTGTTCCCTCAAATAAGATTGTTCAACATTACCCATTCTTCTTGTAAACAGCTTTGATTTTTTCTACAAATTTATGAACAAGAAAATTGCTTCAGCCTGGAAAAAGGAAGATAATAATTTAGTAGATTGTTTTAGTGTGAAAACTGAGATATTACAAGACTCATTCTCAGAACGATTAAAGCAGTATAAAATTCAATATATAAGAAAAGCATGATTGGTGTTAGCAGTGAGCAAATTTGCATTCTGAATGCAAATAGCTTTTACTTAGCAACCATTCAGTTATGATGGTCATGAAAAGGAAAACTGAAGTAATATCATAAGCAGACATGTGACCATATGATTTTTCACTTTGCAACTGCTTCATTTAATGACTAAGTTCCAGTACCAATTACGGTCACTAAATGAAGATTACTTGTAATGTTAATAAATCTGTTATAATATTTTGGTAACTTCCTTTACTGTAAACATTTTGGTTATGAAAACTACCACATTTATTATAATAGAAGCTTTTGTCACTCATGTGATGTATATTTCAGTCCTACCTGTGCAGAAATAGACTGAGATCCAACGTGTTAAACATCTTTTAATACTTTTCGGTGTATAACATTCTTATATATTACCAAGAAAAATATTTTCTGTTTTCATTTATGATTCAAGTCTTCCTCTTTCCCATGGATCATTATGGGAGAACTATATTTTCAAAATAGAATTATTCACTGCTGAACAATTTGTGTCACATAGGTTTTGGGCTCTGTGGAATTCCAGAGAACCTCATAGGAGCTTTGTTGAAGACTGGTGTAAAAGGAATAACCGCTGTCAGTAACAATGCAGGGTAGGTATTTTTCCCCCAATACCAGTTATTAGGATTATTTTAAACACCCCTAGTAATATTGCAGGGGGAAATAAATTCCTTATCTTTGCTTTGTGAAGAACCTATTTTGCAACTGATGAGGCTACTTTTTTTTTTGCAAGTTCAATTAAGTCTGAACTTTGGCTATATTCTTCTCTCTCTACTTATTTTGCTGCGCCTGTTAATGGCATGACTACCCAGCAGTGGCACATAATCATATCATAAACAGGGCTGCTGTCATTGCTATTGCAGAGGGTAAGTTATTCATTCATTTAAATATCGGCTGTAAACTTCGGTTGGTCACCCATAAAAGACATGGTTGAAATAACAAGACATTGGACGACAGAATGCTGGAACATGAAATGCACAAATACGAAAACATTTCAGAGGTTTTTAAAACGGGAGTTTAAAACTGGAGTTTGTACATTGCCTGAAAAAAGGTTGGTTTTTGTAATATAAAATCATCACATTATTGTACTTGATTCTTCAAGTATTTATATGTAAAGCAAAGGTTCTCCAACTGCAATTCAGCAATATAGTGACTTCATAAAATGATAAAATGAACGAATACAGCATTCACCACTATGCATAATGATCTTATTGAGCTTAAGGTATGGAAGGAAACAAATGCACAATTTTCTTTAATAATTAATTTTTGATCTTTATATGCAATATAAAGCAATAATATAACATTGTAATATAAAATAGTTTAATATAGCTATGTAATATAAAATAGTTTAATTTTAAACTACCTCAATAAAACTTTAAACAACATTTTAAATGGGAAGGATGAATTTGCTTTCACAGTGTAAACCTGGCTGTTGTGGCTTATTCAACAAGCCATGAAAAACATGATGGTTTAACATTGCAAAATGGTTAGTTTTATGAATCAGGGCTTTATTCTTTTCTTAATTCAATGTTTATTTTATTTAAAACATTAAAATACAAACTTCAAAAAAGAAAAGAAATACAAAAACAAAACAAGTGCATAAACAAATCAAAACAGATATATATAAATTGCCCCCCAGTTGATATTTCAAAGATAATAACTCCTCCCCCCCCCACGAAGCAGACATACAATTTATAAATGTCTACAATGCTAATATTTACCCAACCCACTTAGCGTGGCATCTATTTAATATATGGCAACATAGTTAACAGGTATAACCAACAGCTAAATTATGAATCAGGCTTTATTTATTTATATAAGTGTATAATATATATCCATATATTGAAAATACTGATTCTTGGTCAGGGACCTCTAACTTGAATGTTCAAATAGTACTAGGAAGACTCTCACAATAGGAATTAGTTTTTAAGGTACTTTCTGTATTAACCTCTTGGTAATCCTTGGAGGAATAACCAAAATCTTTGTGTGTCTTGTCCAAATAATTAAAGCACCTGTGTCTTTTTTATTCATTTGTTTAACTAGGGGAGCATCGCCTTGGAAATAATCATTCTTAATGATTATTAAGCATTCTTAATTCTGATAGTGGATCACTGCTTGTACAATCTTTGTACTATACTAGATAAACTGCTGTCCAATCTTTTCTTGGATCCTCTGAAATTAAAACATTTAAAATATTTTATGAAAGGGAAACCCCCTAAATTGATAACTGTTTCATTATACATTATATATAAAACACTGAATCCTACATTTTTCTTATAAGTAAATGCTCCCCTGTTTTTATTGATATAGGTAGGCATTTCATCGGGTGGGATTCAAATTTTTTAACAACCGGTTCTGTAGGCATGGCTTAATTGGCGGGCGTGGCTTGGTGGTCATGTGACCGGGTGGACGTGGCTTGGTGGTCATGTTATTGGCTGGGCATGGCCAACTCAATATCACTCACATCGAGGCACGCATCTCCTCGCCTGGCCTCTCATGACTGTGGGGATGCTGCAACAGTCGTAAGTGTGAAAAATGGTCATAAGTCACTTTTTTCAGTGCCATTGTAACTTTGAATGGTCACTCCACACAAGCAAAGTACCAGCAAAGGAGGGGAAAAAAAACTCCAGGGAAGTTCCTGAGACAGGAAGTCTAATCCTGCCAAGAATGTAATAAGGGTTAACGGAGAGGCAGTTCCTGTAAGCAACACCAGAATGTTTCCTTCCTGCCTTCCTTACAGAATTAGGCCAATAATTTCTTCTAACAACCAGTTCTCTGAACTGCTTAGCAACAAGTTCTAGCGAATAGGTGCGAACTGGTAGAATCCCACCCCTGCATTTCATGCCAAATATTGTAAGGATGTGAATAACTGTTCTATAGAATAGAAAACCTGATTTAGACTGATTTTGAATGTAATACTAAGGTTAAACATTGAAATATTTTCTCCCTTAGTTATCAGTGCTACTGTTGACAGTGCAACTAAATGATTAGATAAGTCCACTTTTTCGATCATTCAAACATTTTTAGCAATTTTTCATTGCCAAGTTAGAATACTGTTTTCAGAAACATGACACTGTGCACCAGAACTATGTGAAACTTTCCCATGATGTTTATGAAATACCAAATTTTTTCACTAATCCTCTTTTTTGCGAGCTGAGAAAGATTTAGACACTGCTGTAAAATTGAGAAATTTGGCACTATATTTTGTACTTTTGCCTTTTCAGTGTTGAAATCCTTAAATTTATGGTAGTAATTTCCCTAAATTATTATTGGGAACCATTTTTAATGGGCTTTCCCTTTTTTGTTGTATGCTAATCCCAGATCTTAAGTGTGTAGGAGAAGGAGTGGCAGAACCTGGGGCGGAATTAAGAAAGAGAACAGCCTACAGGTGAAACTCGAAAAATTAGAATATCGTGCAAAAGTTCATTTATTTCAGTAATGCAACTTAAAAGGTGAAACTAATATATGAGATAGACTCATTACATGCGAAGCAAGATAGTTCAAGCCGTGATTTGTCATAATTGTGATGATTATGGCTTACAGCTCATGAAAACCCCAAATCCACAATCTCAGAAAATTAGAATATTACATGCAATCAATAAAACAAGGATTGTACATAGAACAATATTGGACCTCTGAAAAATATACGCATGCATATGTACCCAGTACTTGGTTTGGGCCCCTTTTGTAGCAATTACTGCCTCAATGCGGCGTGGCATGGAAGCTATCAGCCTGTGGCACTGCTGAGGTGTTATGGAAGACCAGGATGCTTCAATAGCGGCCTTCAGCTCTTCTGCATTGTTCGGTCTCATGTCTCTCATCTTTCTCTTGGCAATGCCCCATAGATTCTCTATGGGGTTCAGGTCAGGCAAGTTTGCTGGCCAATCAAGCAGAGTAATCCCACAGTGATTGAACCAGGTTTTGGTGCTTTTGGCAGTGTGGGCAGGTGCCAAGTCCTGCTGGAAAATGAAGTCAGCATCCCCATAAAGCTCGTCTGTGGAAGGAAGCATGAAGTGCTCCAAAATCTCCTGGTAGGTGGCTGCATTGACCCTGGACTTAATGAAGCACAGTGGCCCAACACCAGCAGATGACCTGGCTCCCCAAATCAACACAGACTGTGGAAACTTCACACTGGACTTCAACCATCTTGCAGTGTGTGCCTCTCCATTCTTCCTCCAGACTCTGGGTCCTTGGTTTCCAAATGAGATGCAAAAGTTGCTCTCATCAGAAAAGAGGACTTTGAACCACTGAGCAACAGATCAGTTCTGTTTTTCTTTAGCCCAGGTAAGATGCTTCTGACGTTTGTTGTTCAGGAGTGGCTTGACAAGAGGAATACGACATTTGAAGCCCATGTCCAGGATCTGTCTGTGTGTGGTGGCTCTTGATGCACTGACTCCAGCCTCAGTCCACTCCTTGTGAAAGTCCCCAACACTTTTGAATGGCCTTTTCCTGACAATCCTCTCCAGACTGCGGTCATCCCTGCTGCTTGTGCACCTTTTTCTTCCACACTTCTCCACTGAGCCGAAGGGAGAATCCAGGATGGGTAGTCTCTAGTCTCCTAGCTCTGCAGACCGAGTTGAAAAACTGAGGACACACCCCCTGGTAACAGTCCCCAGTTCTTCATTCGGTCTCAGCGTGTTCAGACCACCATTTAAGGGCTCTGAATAGTTAAGATTGTAGAAGAATTTTCACCCCCTGGATTAAGCTTTTTGTCTTAGAGAGGCTTAGATCAGGTTTGACAGCTAGCTGGTTTGCCGGTTTAGCACTTTCAATTTTTCGTGTCTTTTTTCTGGTTCGCATTTTTTTTGCTTTTTATTTTATTTTTTTAAACTTTCCTTGCCGGTGGACTGGTTTTTTTTCTTTTTCTGGTTAGAATTTGGGTGGAGGTGACCCTGAGAGCCCTTGTGGCCCGGGCTGGGGGCGGGAGTCGGCGTCTTATTCAACTCGCCTTCTGATCCACTTTCCCTTGATTTGGGCTAGCCGCAACTGCCGCTAAGCGCTTCTGTCCCTTTTCGGCGTCAGCGGCCATTTCTCGCGTTTTGGGACAATCTTGCAGTTCGACTCCAGGATTGTCCCTTGAGGGGGGTTCTGGCCATTGGGATTAAATCCTGACCCCCTATCCAGTCCCCACAGCATTGTGGAAGCTGCGAGACGCTTGAGTCCGCCAGATAATTGCGGTGCAGCCAGCGCCAGGCTCTCAAGCCTCTGACCTGTCAGGGCCTGCTGCAATTCAGAGTCAGCCGTTTTTCACCTTTTTTTCTCTGACTCGGCTTTTGAATTGCGGAGCTGGGCTGAGCTCACCATTTTGGGTTGCACTAGCCTGCTGAGGTGGTGGACAGCTACTGTGGCTGTAGCAGACAGCGTTAGGCTAATTTTTTTTTCTTTACTACTTTTTCCCCTTCTCTCCCCTTGTCACTGACAATTAATTTTGGCGGGCTCAAAATGGCCACCAGGGGAGATGATCAAGAATTGTCAGTTCCTCAGCAGGGTAGAGAGAAGGCTGTAAAGGGATCACCTAAGCCCAGGTCTGCTGGACTGGAGGCAGCAGCTAGGATTAGAGCTAGGGCTCTAGCCCCTAAAAGACCCTCTAGGG